CCTTCCACTAGACCAGATTGCTCCAGCCTAGCCTTGAACACTACCAAGGATGGGGCAGCTCTGGGCATCCTGTGCCAGCGCCTCAGCACCCTCACAGGGAAGGATACCCTCTTAACATCTAATCTAAATCTCCCCTCTTTCAGTTTAAAGCCATTCCTCCTTGTCCCGTCCCCATATGTCCTTGTAAAAAGGGCCCTGTAAACATTTCTTATCTTCACAAAAAGCCCCAGTCCTAATAAAGTCCTAATAAAGCTACACAACCTAATCATCCATTTTATTGGGAATTAGTTTTATTAAAAGGAGCACTGTAAAATCTATCTCAGTATCACTTTGAACATACCACACTGGAATTATAAAACCAGTTACTATGAGTAGCTCTTTAATAGTCAATCCAAAAAGGTGCTTGGAATGAGAAAATTATTGTGTACTTACACACTGTTAAAGTATATTTAGAACAAATCTAAATTAACAATAACCTTGCAGTTTCTTTAAAGGCTCAGAAGCCTTTGCTCATATTTATCTTACAAGATAAATACAAGATAAATTTAACTCTATAATCTCAAATATCTTATTCTTTAAGAAAGACTAACCCATACAAATAACTGAGGTGCAATATCTGTAGTAAAGCTTTGCCCCACACTCATGCACCAATCTCTTACAATTTGGAAGTCCCTACTGAAGAATATGTACCTAGGTAGTAGTCAATTGTTTGCACACTTCAACATGTGACTCTTTGGCAACTTTTTTCTTACTAAAAACTGTCCTTAATGAATTTACCACCACCACCCTGAAAGCACCTTCTTTCTGGACTCTTGAAATGACTGTCTACTACCATTCCAGCAATGTATAGTCTGTCTATTTGAAAGGGGAAGTCATAGTCTGTTTCAGCTGCAAGGACAGAAGTTTAATTTGCTTTTTTGATTCCCAAGAACGGAGACACAGACACTGTTTGTAGAAAACCTCCACAGGAAATTTTCTATTTGGTTTCAATTTACTGAGTTTAGGTAGACAGTCTTCCCCTCCATCCTTCTGCATTTACTTTGCTGCTATTTAACTGTCGATGTTTGAACTGTCTGGAGTTGGTCCTCCTTCTCTGAGGATGTGTTTGTTTGCTTAATTTTGTGCAATGGCTTTCCACAGATGAAGTGGATTACTTCAAGACAAAGTCTGTGTCCTGGGTTCAGATACAGCAATCATTTTTTCTCCTTCTTAGTAGCTGGCGCAGTGCTGTGTTTTTCTCAGGTCGGGCTGGGTATCAGTCGGCGGGTGGTGAGCAATTGTATCCTCTCCCCTTGTTATTTCCCTTATCATTACTGCTATTGGTGGTAGCAGTAGTGGTTTGTGTTATACCTTAGTTACTGGACTGCTCTTATCTCAGCCGGTGGGAGTTACATTCTTTCCATTCTCCTCCCCATCCCTCCGGTAGGGGGGGGAGGAAGAAGTGGGGGGAGTGAGCGAGCGGCTGCGTGGTTCCAAGTTACGAGCTGGGCTTAAGCCACGACAGTTCTTTGTGGGGCCCAGCGTGGGGCACGAACCCACGACCCTGCTGGGTGGTGGGACATTCAAACACTGGGATACACATTGACCATAAGCCGCCTGGTTGGTCAGCACGAGGGGATCTGCCAACAGGGCTGGCCCAGCCTCCAGTACAGTCAACTCTTGGGATCCTCCTGTCACTCCAGAAATATAAATGGGTTCTACCCCTTGATACGTTGATGGCATCCGGGTACAACAGTGAAAATGCATTGTTCCCAGGCTGAAAGTCAAAAACATAGCGCTGCACCAGCTCCTAAGGGGAAAACATGACTGCTGTAGCTGAACTCGGGACAGTATGACAAATAATTAAATTTTTAGAATTAAATAAAAACCTCTTAAGTGCTAAGAAACAAAGAAAAACATTTTACAAATACCCATGGAAACTTCAAAAAATTATTCTTCTGCTTTAGTCCTTTCTTTATATATAATACAGCTTTAAGTTAGCAATGCACAACTGTTGCATGTGCTGTATGGAAACACTATGAACAATTGCTGCAATTTCAAAACAACACTAGTTTAATATTTTAACTGTCAAAACCACAGATGACATGAATTTGCTGTGGTGGCAGAGAAACATGCAACTAAAAACCTCCTTCTAAAAATCACTCCCCTATGCCATGAAGCGCTGCCTACTGTTATCAAACAACGAGGAGACCATTATCTCCAAGATTTGTCACAGAGTCCAAGTACTCAAATCTCAATTCTTCTATAATGGTTCCTTCGAAAAATCTTGCTCTAAACGACTAAGGTTGGGAAAATATTTCCAAACCCTTGTGTCTGATAGATGACAAAACTACCACAAGATCAGACAATAAACTCTCACTTGAGGAGTGCTGATAAACATTAATATTACAAAGGACTAAAAAACAAACAATAACCTTTTATTCCCCTTAATTTTTGTTATCTCACTAACAAAAATATGAAGCTCTTTACTGAATTTCAGGAAATAAATGGATGCTTAGATAGAACGATAGAAAAAAAACAAGTCAAACGGTGGTTTTCCTCTTAACACTAAGTTTATTCTGGCCATTTAATTACACCCTTTTAGGGATACATCTATTTCAACGATAGTTCCTTCTGAAATCTTGCATTAGTTCTGGATCTTAATGCCCAGAACTGGAGATAATTAATAAGACGTTTTACAGTCCTGGCTCATCCAAGATGGATAGTCTGCTAGCTTTGCATCACTGCAAAAGAAATGTTGCTGTAAGATTGTTTGTAGCATGAGGTAACTCTTGTGCAATCAATCACTGACCAGATCAGAAAAACATACAAGTCCTGAAGGAAGCTGGCCATTGTAACACTTTTACAGGAGTTACCTTGTGCAAATCTACTTTCTTTTACAGTCTATTTTCTCATCCATTTAAACAATGGCACAAAGAAGCGACAGGATTTCTAAAGACTCTTCCTTCAGCAAGCAGTAGGCCTTACTTAAAAGCAAATGTCAGCAGGATAAGAGCTGGTACTGGAGTATCTTGCTTTCTGAAGGCAGGCAGCAATGACCTCTAGCCACTGCTAGTACTTGCAGTCATGGCAAACTGTGTGATGAGCAGACATAAGGAAAAAGAGATAATTAGACAGTAAAAAGGAAGAGAAATGTTACTAAAAGCTCCTTCTTACAGAGTTTGTCAGTAGGGACCCTCATCCTCTTGAGCTTCTTTTGAATCCAAGGACTTCTTTGAGCAGATCTCAATAGGGTATGACTTAACAGTGAAAATATTCTCTACTGTGAAAGACTGGAAACCTCTGAGGTGATTCCCAGCATTTCACCCTTCCCTCCTCCCGCAGGGCGAGACCACATAAAAGAACAGAGGGACAGCTGGGACCAAAGACACTAAGGTATCTCCAAACATTTGGCTCCCATGCAGGGACACCGACCACAGATTACAACGCGTATGACTCACTGATGGCAAGAAGACTTCCAATATTCTAGCAGTATCTGATGGAAAGCTGGTTTTGGACGGAGAGTGCCTTTGAACATAGCAAGCAAAGTTCATCTCAACTTTTTATTAACTCTGGCATAGTCACAAGCTTTCTCACGAAGTAAACTGGTTTTATTTATCAACCCAAACCAGATGAATAGCTTCCTTGATTTTTCTTTCTGGCAACTCAAAAGACTCACTGAGTATTACCACAATATCTCAAGCTAGCTACAGTGCAGGTAAACGCAGTTTCAAGCTCTCCAACACCACCCACCCCAACAAGCATCTTTGCATACCCAGCACAGCTCCTTTTTAGGCCTTTCTGCCCCTACCTCAAATTAAAACTTGATAATAAATGTGGAGAACCAAAGATCGACTGATGTTTCTGGATGGAAACAATAGAAGGGCAAAAATCAGCTAAAAGACACAGAGGTTAGAAGGAAATCGCTGATAATGAAAGGACATTTATTATCAAGGAAGCTTGCTGCAAGGGGAAAAAATTAAAAGCTGTACCTAGGAGAAAGGGAAATTTTAACCATATTATAGCAAGATTATTTTAGTTTCATCTAATTAATAGCTCTGTTCCTGCAAATCTTAGTAGTTACTTAAATAAGGAGCAAGACAAAGCAGCTAATACTACTTGCTTGTCAATGACAAGCATACATTCAGAATAATTTATATTGAAAAAGTTAAACTGTGTCACAGAACTTAGAAAACGTAGCATTTTTATAAAGGTAACCAATCCCCAGGCAATTTATGAAATCCCTGTGCAACAGAACAGGAATGACTGTCTTAGGGAGAAATGAAAAGAAGTCATTTCCTTAGTGTTTTATTATTCAAGAAAAAAAACCCAAGAAGTGGACACAAGATGTCCATTCACTTTGAAATTAATAAAACCTTTTGATGTGGGGCAGCAAACGCCTGACTTCTACAGGACAAAGTCTATAAGCATCGATTTCACAATACAGGCTGTAGCTCATTCATATGCATCAGTGCATGAGCCACTGCAGAGCATAACCCCACGACTGCTTTCAGTTCAATACTGGAAGTATGCTCTGGAAATACAATACAGCAGAAAATTATGTTGTGCCTCACAGCCCTTCCTTACCTCGGCCTTGTTCTGAAAGCTTAGCAGATGTTGGATGTCAGTGAAAAACAAAGTTTTTCGAAC